GGTGTGCCGTCGTGTGGGGCCCCTTGCGCATCTGTTTCTGGAGATCAACTAAATAATTCGTCATTCTTGCACGTAGGGCATCTTTGAGATGAGAAGGAAAATGGTTTAGGACTTGGAGTTTCAAAAATCTTGCTGAATTCACCTGCATTCCCCCCTTGAAAGAAGTAGGGATTGTGCTGCGTTACCCAACTGCAGAACAGAACCAAGATGCTGTATAATAAATCACTTGATGCTGCATAAAGAATGGGTTTACACACATAGTTCTGATTCTCTTCCTCCCCCTTCAATTTATTTTCTTTTTGTGCTGTTTTCTTCCCCTAATTGTGTTTGCTTACATCACTCTGCTTATTTAAATCGTAATTTGTAATAATGTCATCACCCAAACCCCTGCAAAGCCTCAGCGCTCTGACCCCTTGCTTGGCAGAAGGGAACTCTCAGAATGCGGTCGCTGTAGGGGTTCTTCCTTTTTCCGCTCGAGCATTTCCCGCTGCAGGCAGGCGTCTTTCGTCCTCTGTGGGATGTGGGGAGCAGCGCGTGGGGACCGGCCTCCCCAGCCCCATAGAGGCTCCGAGGGAAACCCGCTGGTCCGTCCTCATCGGAGCCTGCCGCGGCGGCGCACCGGCTGTTGGGTCGCGCGGACGCGCGGGGCTGGCGGGAGCAGCACAGGCCGGTCACTCGGAACTGACCGGTGGACGGGGAGGCAAGCGCGTGGGTTGGCGTCAGTGGCTTTCTTCCCTGCTGAAATTCACATCGACACATTTTAAAAGTCGTGACACCCTGCTGGCTGGAATCTGTCTGGGCTTTAGCTCTTGATAAAATGCTGTTAGGGTTAGTGGCGCGGTGCCCTGCGTTGAGCGTGGCACGGGGTCTGTGATGTAGCCCCCAGGTGTTAAGACCGAGGTGAGCCCTGTTCCCTTCGGCGCTGCGTACAGCCTAGCAGTGCAGGCACCAGGGTCTGCTCTGGGTGCCGGGTCAGCAGGCAGCCTGCGGGCAGCTTTCCTTGTTCGTGAACCACCTCCCCCTTTTGTCCACTGCAGTAAAAGCTTGTGCTGCAGGGACTGTAAAACGAAAGGTAGAGCTCATCCATGTTTGTGCTCGGTAACAGAAATGCATTTGGAGGAGGGGAGAAGAATCCCCGTTTCTAGTGGGCATTATTTAAAACACCTCCTTTTTTTAACAGGATGATGACAACACTGCACCTTCTGCTCCTGATCCTCCAAGTCTTCTCTTGCATGAACGTGGAACAGGTTTCTGCTTTGATTCCAGGTAAATGTTACCTCTTACTGGCCTTGAGTGGCACGGACGGGTTTCCATACTCCTGGGCTCTTTTACACAAGGCAGGGGTGGAGGTGAAAAACTCCTACGCATTCTCAGTGACTATCTGGTTTACAGTTAACTGTCAGGGAACACGCGGTGAGACTGGGTGGGCTATTCGTGCTGTACCTTATGTGGACGGAATTTGGACAATTTTTTTAGTAAATGAATGAATAACTTTTGTATTTTCCCCCTCTCTTTCCAACCTAATTGTGAACCAAAGTTCAGAGCTTTTATAAAGTGTGACGTTTGCTAGGAGCAAGCGTTTATGAGTGGAGAGAGTGGTTTCCCATGAAACTGCCTGGCCGTTAAAGACACACAATCGATTTGTATTCGGTGGTAGCTGGAATTCTGTCAAAATCCTGTCGCTTTTAAAATGCCAGGTTATTCTGGAACTCCTCTGTAAAGCTACTGTACCCGTATCGAGCACTTTTTGCAAAGACGTGTAAATGAACGGTGCGGCACTTGCTTAGATACCGAGTCTGCTGAAACTGCGGTTCGTAGGAAAGCTCTCGGCGTCGGTGGCAGCAGCATCCTGCTTTTACCTTTGATTTTGCCCTAACAAACAGATTAAATGACTGTTTCCTGTTTTCTTTCCCTCCACCTCCCTGCGAAGCTTTGACGTGCACAAGAAGTGCCCTCTCTGCGACGTGATGTTTCCACCCAACTACGACCAGAGCAAGTTTGAGGAGCACGTGGAGAGCCACTGGAAGGTGTGCCCCATGTGCAGTGAGCAGTTCCCGCCCGACTATGACCAGCAAGGGTTTGAGAGGCACGTCCAGACGCACTTTGATCAGAACGTATTAAATTTTGATTAAATACTTTTGTTTTGCAGTGTAGCTTGAAAAGCCCAAATCTGAGTAGTCCGCCTGCGGAACAAAACGAGCGCAGCTTTTCTCTAACAGTGCAAACTGCCGATTAAAAGCGCGTGTACTCTAACGGGAGCCATGACGGGTCGTGGCTGTAAACTGCTGCTGGGTTACCTTCTCTCTCTCTCCCCCCCAACCTTATACTAAAGAACACCCCACAGCTCCCCGCTGCCTTGTGTGTGTAGCCATTCATTCCCCTGCTCGGTGGAATCTGTAAGGACACAGGAATGACTCGGCCTCGGAAAAAAATGAGGCCAGCTTCGTGATGCTCTCCAGCTACATAAAAAAGCCACCAGAACACCTGTGGTTTCTCCTGACCGTGGTAACTGAAAACGTCGTAGACAGATGTTTCTCCTAGCAGATTTTTCTTTGAGTCTTTTTCTTTGAGTAACACTTAAATCAGAAAGTTACATGACTTGCCCTATGAAAATACAGTTTTCTAGTACACTTCTGAAATGTAGATGCACGTACTGCGAGATGACATGCTTGCGACAAAAGTAATGGCAAATACTTCAGTTTCACGTACAGAACGTTTGCCTTGAGGGACAAGGTTAAATTCAGTGCGTTACACCTTCAGGCGGCATTTTTGAGTTGAAAGACACTGCTGTGCTTAAATGCCTAAAAGTAACCATTCAAACAAATCCTTGCCAGTAGGTTGCAATTGCAGTCAGTAGAAAATATTGTTCTATTTTCACAACAGTGAATTGTGTTCCTTTTGGCGTAGGGCTTTTAAAACCTTCTGCTTTTTAACTTTATGTATTTCTTTCCAGTGTGTATAGCTAAACATTTTATATTTACTTTAACTGTATTAAGTCAATTGGCTTTCCACTTGTACAGTAGTCTCGTTACATTAAAAGCAAAATTATTCACGGAGTCAGTGGTCCTTTTTTCCTGCTGCTCGTTGCGAAACAAACCAGCATGGAGGCTTTACATACTTTCAGTAAATGATGTTTCAGCTTCGTGTGACAACAAAACCATTGCTCTCTGTGTTGTTTGGGAGAGAGACTTGGGGTTAAGGTTTTGAGGAGCTTCTCCTGTCTGCTGGTCTCTTGTGAATGCGTGCAGTATCCCCTTCGACGCAGGATTTATGAAACGCTGAAGGAACGAATTGCAGTGTCAGGGGTAGCAGCTACTCCAGCAGTCCTCTGCGTTCCATTTTTAAATCTCAGATTATTATTTTGTGTGAACTTCGTGTCAAGAGATGGTCTGAGGTAGGGCATGGAGGTACTGAAAGAGTATTTTGTCTGTTCTTTTTCTTACAGTAACTCAACAGCATATGAAAACAGTTAGAACTGGCTATAAACCCAAAATACTACTAGTTATTGTATTATTAAGGATTTAGGAAATCTCAGGGACTGGTGTCCTGCGCAAGCAGGGCAACCGCAGATCCTGGCTGTGCCAAGGTAGAGATGCCTTGTGGCTGGGTGCCTGCAGGGGCCGGTGCTGTGGCCTGGCCCAGCCTGCCCCCGCGGCTTGAGGGGCTGACAGAAGCCAAGCACCTCTGCTGCAGCCTCACCCGATTAAAATGGTCCCGGTTTCTCCTGTTGTAGCGATAGCCGCTGCCTTTCTGGAGACCTTCGGTCCTACCCCTGCAGCACCAGCACAAACTCTGTCCAGCTGCCTGCGCCCTGCTGGGGGTGCTGGAAGGAAACAGCTGGGGAGAGCTGAAGTCCTTTTGACTGATGACATCAAAATACGCATTCCCCTCCCCGGGCTGCAGCGTTCTGAGTAATTTTGTGCATTAACGGTGTAGTGCCCAAATTGCTTCAGGTGTTTATTGAATATAATAGAGTTTGATGATGCCAAAGTAAAATACACAAATAAAAGAGTAGGTACAGCCCAGGAACTTAACTCTTCAGGGTCAGTAACGAGGAGAGAGCAGGCTTCTTAGGTCAGAGGCAGTTTATTTTAAATGTGATTTGATTTACATTTATAAGCAGCTTTCTTGACAGGAATTCTTTAAGTTGCCTTCAGTTCTAAAACAAACCTCTGTCACTTTCAAACTTGAAGTACTTTGTCCCCAACAAAACATATGAAAATATAATTTAAAGCACACTTTTCACAGACACAGTACAATACATTCACTATACACAGTATAACAAAATAGTCCCATCTTTACCTGTTTAATAATACTGTCACAATGAATAGGTAAATAGAAACTGGAATTTAATTTTTATAGTTGAAAGGACTTAACATGCAACAATGACCTTTTACAACTGTTTAGCTGTTGAACGAACTTACCCAGCCTGTAGTTCCTTGCACTAGAAGCAGAGCCAAAAGGTGGCTGGGGGCCACAGCCGTTCCCCAAACCAGGGGAGGTGGGCCCTGGCAGCCCTCATCTCTGGATCACCCTCAAACCCAGCCAACAGCGCTGCACAGCGCAAGCGCCGTCACCTCTCCAGGATCTGAAAAAGTCCTGTTTCCTTCAACGCGCTAATTCACTGAGGGTGACTGCGAAGTGTTCTAATGAGACCTTTACTCTGCTGGAGAACAGGTAAGTGTCAGCCTTAGAAAGTTTTCCTTTAAAGCTTTGGGAAAAAAAGCAGAGGGAAAGCTCGTTCCTCCTTCAGTTGAGCTTTCTTTTGCACCTCCCAGGAACTCAGCGAAGGCAATGCCTGTGTTCAGCGCGTTCCTCCCTCGCCCCTCCCGGGTGGGGCAGGGCAGGGGGTGCCACCTCCCTCCCCTGGGGCCAGCCCCACGCCGGGAGCAGCACTCACTGGTGGGAGAAGCGCGAGGCAGCAGGCGACAGGCGCTCGGGCAAGGCCCAGACGCGGTGGCTCGTGGTGTCAGTCAGTCTCTGACCACCTGCTGCAAGAAGCACTTAATCTTCGGTAAGGCTCATTATGTCTCATTTCAGCAAAATTAATTGTAAAGCTAAACAGACGCTTCCAAACGGAACGCGGTGACCTGCAATGAGAAGCAAAAAATGCACACAGAGAACCTCAAAATACAACGAACATGAGGGAGAGGCATTAGAAGCTCCCTTAGCACGAAGAAGGGACCTCCTTAAACCAGGCGTAGAATTTTTACTTTTTATTTGCAACCACAGGCAAATGCTCGTACCGTAGTTGCAAGAATTGGCAACACATAAAACATTAAATCTGTTGGCAATAGAGAACTACAAAGTGCTTTAAAACTTCATCGGAGATGAAGATAATTGTTTCTCACACACACATAAATTTGCACTTAAGTATTTCCAAGTGTCTTTCTAACAGATAGTTCAGGGGCAAATATTCAGTGGGACTGGGATATTGGTCCTCAAAAGTTTGATGGGCATGAACATAATATGACACCTTGTACAAAAAAAAAAGTAGTAATTTCTAACACTAAAGTGATTGTTTACTAGTTTGAATGGCAAGATTTTCAGCATTTCAAGAGGGGAAAAGAAAGATTTGCAAGATAATATAAAATACAGCAAGCACACCTTTTTACGTATGTTATTTAAGTATGAAAATATTTTTAGCATATTATGTTAAACATTCTTTCTTATTTATATTTCCATTACCTAAAAGACTTGCTACTCCACCGGTAACTCCGTTATGTAAGGCATGTTAATGCTAGTTTGACGAGGGCGGGATTGTTTTGGTTTTGCACGCACATTGACAGACGCAGTGGAAGTCTTCATCATGTTACAATCTCAAAAGGATGTCAGTGCCAAGCTCTCCTCCTCTCACTCCTGTCCCAATGCTTCAGTACAACTAAATACGCAACAACCCCACCCCCCTACCCCCCCAGTTATTTTTGTTTTGGAGAAAAATGTTCTGAAGAACCTATAGCTTTTATAGCACCTTATCTCAAAGTAATGAACATGGGTACGATGATTACATGTGCAAATGTACAAAATCATTAACTCTACAAAGATAACATCATTCCAAAATTACAGAAAATTTTAAAGCATGCATTTAACTTTTTTAAAGGGTTGCTGAATGCTTCCCCTGAAAAAGGTGGCTGTTCTCAAAATCAGCAACTGCTGGTGAGGGTTTCTTGGCACATTTGTGACCAGCATGTTATTGCTGCATCTTCCTGATAATCTCAGCAGACACGGGGGGGTGGAAGTTGATTGTGTGGTGCCGCAGGCCCTGAGCTGTCTTGTAACTCTTTCCACAGCGACACTTGAAGGGTTTGCGTACACGGATTTGCGTTCTGTGGCCGTTCTTGGCGTGGTACTTTATACCGTTCACATTCTGTCAGGGAGAAAGCAAAACGTTAGTGGCAAACTGATCAACGTTACGGGCAAAGCCACACGAACTGCTAGGAACTGCTGCTCGGTGTCGCGCGTCTGTTGTGCCTTCCCGATACGAGGTGGGACAAGGTGGAGAATAATCTCCGCAGTAATCCTGATTTTTATCTCCCAAGGTAGGGCACTTTCCAAAACCCACCGTTTAAGGGGCTCACACATGGATGTTCTTTGCTTCCGGACGTTTTTTCGTATAGCGTTGACAAATTTGATTCAGAGGTTCGTTTACAAGCAAACAAAGAATTGGCATGAAGACTCGAGTCACACTTCTTCAAAAAGCTGAAGCTCCCCCCATGGCGTGTTCATGCTGTGTTGTGTCATTGTTTCTAGATGTGTCTTTAGGCACCAGCAAATCCTGACAGTTTTCCCATTGTCTGCGAAGAATGAACCGCAGAGAATGCTTAACTTCAAGAGTTACACAGGGCACGCACTTAGAAAATAATCCAGAGAAGCTGCCTTCAAGACAGCTATTGTTTGGGAATATTCTACAGCTACAACTAAGAGAGCTGATCTCCACTGTAGTTCGGAGAGAAGCAACAAAAGCCAGCAGCACACCACGCTACCGTTACGCTGGAGAGGTCAGGAAGGAGGCAGCACTTTTGCTAGATCAACCAAGAACCTTACTGAACTTCAGTCAGAACTGTACCACTCTCCTCCTTGCCACACCTTGCTGCCCACAGTGGGAGAAGCTGTTGCGGTCTCACTGGGATGCGATGCCGCTTTATGTAGGATTCGCCTTACCGGGGTCTCGCTTATCTGCTTCCAGTAGAAGAGCTTGGATTTTCGGATAAATAAGGAAAGGCAAACTGTCTTTTATTAAAGCTTCTCTTAGGAAGAAAAACGATGCCAAGACAGGATACAGCGCCGAGGCTCTACTGTGTCTGCTCTGGAGTTTCCAGATACGTATCTCAGGGGTTTTTCAATTATTAAAAAAACCCACCAAAACCAATTAACAGCATGGCTATTAATTAACACACTAAATTAACGCTTCCAGGGATTTTGTT